CCCCCCCCCCCCCAAATCAAACACCAAAATATACAGGTATTTAGAATTTAGCCTAATATAATAAAGGGATTAGTTTGCCTGTCTATCTGTCCATACTACACTTGGTGCACTCTACTTGATTACTGAAACAACCAATCAGAGCACTTCAAGAGTGTTACAGGCTGGAGGCAGTGGTGCAGTGGAGCACCGTCATGAAGGAGGCAGGGGGGCGAGGCCAGCAGCCTTTTTTTGTTTTTCAAAATTCATCCATCATTCTTGACAGGCAATTTGCTAGTTTTATTATAATGACTGAAGCACTGGTAGGCTTCCAAATTGCTTTAAAACTGTAAATATATCAATAAAAAAATGTTCAGCTGATAGCCTATATATACTGTGGCATTTTATTTGAATTGTGGAAAAAAGTGCAATTTGGGTTTGTTTATTTTAAATCAGAGAATTGGGATGGGGGGCATTCAATCAGAGAATTTGGGTGTGGGGGGGTAACAGATAAAACCAGGATCCCTTCTGATCAGGCTCCTGCACTTTTGGTGCTTCCCCATGACGGCTCTGATCAGCAATAACTGTCTTAAAAAGGACAAGTAAGAATGAAGTGCAAAATGGTAAAGGATTAAAACAGGCAGTTTGAAAAGGCGCACACATACATAAATTTTACATGTATCCCAGGTCACTCCTGACTCTTCAGGTACAAGAACATAGAATGCAAAGCCCAGGTTAGTTTTAAGTTATTATGACTGGCTGACTTGGACACAGACCTTCTTGAAGAACATTACCACCATTCTAATCAATCCTAATACTTAACTACTTTTAATATGAAGGCAGGGCAGGATAGCACCTTAAAAAATAACTGATTCAAAGAGGCAGAAATTTGCATAGGTAACAGCCTACATGAGAAGGTCATGTTGCTGGTATTGTTGTTTTATTATAGTCTTGGTTTACAGAAACATTTTAATAGTTGTGTCATAAGAAAATGCTCTCGCAAACCAGAACTCTTAAATGTATGCAAATGGGATTGTCCAAACTTACTGGTTAAGCAGGACTTGATTCCTTACATCTGTTGCTGTTTCTAAAAATAAAAGCAAAATACAAACGTTAAGTAACAATTTGAGAGACTGTATCCAGCTATTTGGAGATGGGAATAAACTGCATGGAAAAAATCTGTGCTACCCTTCCTAGATGATGTTTCTTTGTACACTCAAAAAGCCAGAAACAGAATAACCTGAAGTTCCATTACCTCCTTCAGAAAGTTCTGGCAGCTGGGTGCAGGATATTCTGCTACGTCTGTGCAAATTGAACAGAAATGGCCCAAAAAGTAGAACTGACAAGTTTAGTTTGACTTATAAATAATTTCTTCTCATTTAGCTACAAGGTCTACAAGGCCTTTCAGTGCCTCATAGGAGAGGATGTGGTCAGCTACCAGTGACTGACAAGTGAGATTCTGTGAGTGTAGCTGCAAGCAGGCTGGGAGGCCGCTGGCTTAAAAGTTGTGTGAATGTTACATACAAAAGAAAGGATTTTTTACCTGCATTTCCAGGATCTGCCATGTTAACCTTCACATCTGTCTTGAAGACCCTGAAACTAAATATAGAATACTTATTACCCTGGAACAAAGAAAATTCTATTTAAAACCAAGACAAAAAAAGTTTTGATTTCAGCCCTTCTTCCTTTTGTACGCTCTAAAGAATACCTAAAAAGTACTTGGAAGAAAGAGAACATATTGAATTTCCTTATAACTTCCAATAAATTACCTTGACTGAACTTAAGGTGAAAACTGCAAAAGTTAATTAATGACAACTATCATTTTTTAAGTTGCAAAATCTTTCCCCTCCTGCCTTCTTTTCAAAATAAATAGAAGAGGTTAAGAATTCTTTCAAATTTGTGAAATATATGAATCTCAATATACCAATATTTAATCTCTAAAATTGAATTCTTACACACTCATTTAAACTTATAAGCAGCAACTTCCAGCAAATTCCTAGAGTGTGTTGGGGATAACTTTTTGGTAGAGCAGGTAGAGAGGCCAACTGGGGGGAAGCTCTTTTTAACTTACTGCTCACAAGCAGGGAGGATTTGGTTGGGAATGTGAAAGAAGAAGGTAATTTGGGTGACTGACCATATAAGAACAGAGTTCAAGACCATAAAGGGAGGAAGAAAGGAGAGTAGCAGATTAAGAAAAGCACTTCAGAAAAGCAGACTTTAACAAACTCAGGGAACTGGTGGGCAGGATCACCTAGAAGGAAAGTCTGAGGGGAAAAGGAGTCCAAGAGAGCTAGTTATACTTGAAGGAGAACATATTAATGGAACAGAAGCAAGCTATTCCACTGCAACAGAAGAATGGGAAATGCAACAGAAGACCAGCCTGGGTAGACAGCTATCTCTTCAGTGAGCTGAAACTCAAGAAAGAAACCCTATAAATACTGGAAACTGGATCATAGTATTTGGGAAGACTATAAGAGTATCACACAGGGATACAGGCAGACAATTAGGAAAGACAAGGCACAATTTGAGGTGCAGCTAGCAAGGGGGACACACACACACACACACACACACACACACACACACAAAAGAAAAAAAAAATGAATAAAAAGGGGTTCTACAACTATGCCCAATGTCAGAAGGGTAGAGAAACCATGGTTGACTTATGGAATTCAGAAGGCAATCTAGTTATGGATGATGCAGAGAAGGCCAAAGTAAGTCTTCACAAAGAGGCAGCTTTCTGGATATTGCAGTCAGGCTGACTGGTCCGTAGTTCCCCAGATACTCCAGATGATGAGTGCAGTTGGCAGCAAAAAAAGGAAGGAAACAGGTAGCCTGGAGTAACAGCAGAACAGATTAGGGACTGGTCTGAGATGCTGGGTGCTTGTCAAGTCAGCAGTGCCACATGGAATGCATCCTAGGGTACCAAAGATACTGACTGAGGTAATTTCAGAGCCATTGGTCATCCTCTTTGAGAACTCATGGAGGTCAGGTGACATCCCAGACAACTAGAAACGGGTAAATATAATGTTCATCTTTAAGAAAGGGCAGAAGGGAGTATCTGGGGAACTACGGACCAGTCAGCCTGACTGTAATATCCAGAAAGCAGGAGCGGGTGCACTAGGAATCCATTGTAAAGTATCTAGAGAAGAAGATGATCAGGAACAGCCAGAATGGATTCACCAAGAGCAAGTCATACCTGACTAACCTGATTTCCTTCTATGATTAAGTGACAGGTTCTGTGGATTAGTGTGTGTGTGGGGGGGAGGTGGCAGAGGGAGTAGATGTGATATAGTCCAACTTTGGTGAGGCCTTAGACACCATCTCCCACAACATCGTCATTAACAAGCTAAGGAAATACTGACTCAGCAAAAAACTGTCAGGATATACAACTGGTTGGATCATCACACTCAGTGGGCGCATCTACATGACACTACGTCACCATAGCAATGCACTGCAGTGATGTAGTGTTGGAGGTCACAAACTGACACTGCATCTACGTTGTTATAGCAATGCGCTCTCTCCTTATAGTGCATTGCTACAGCAGCGTAGCAGCTAAAAATAACCATGTGCCGCATGCATGGCTGTTACTGCACTGTTGTTTAGTACTTCCAAAAGGAAATACTAAAAGATGGTACAGTAACAAAGGCGCCAAATGGACATGTGTAGATGGGCCCAGTGAGTAGTCCTCAATGGCTCGGGAAGAGCTACCAAAAGGGGTTCCTCAGGGCTCTGTCCTGGATCTAGTATTCTTTAATGTCATAAATGAAGCCTCATGTGGAGTACTGTCTAGTTTTGGGCCCCATGCTTCAAGAAGTATATGCAGTTTGGAAAGCATCTGGCACAGAACAACAAAAATGATTAGAGGACTGGGAGGCATGAGTTATTATGAGGAAAGACTAAAACAGAGGTACACCACTACATTGGTCCATATTGTATCGGCGCCAACAAACAGAAAATTGACATTATTGGCAATCAGCTTTTTTTGGCTGATGTGGCCAATAACATTGCTGATAAATGCTATGTGCATGCCTGCAGCCATAGCATGCATGCAGCCAGCCCACCAGCTTAGAAAACAGCATCTGGCTGGTAAGTCTGTTGTGGGGGGAGGCGGGCAGATCAAGGCCCCTGCAGTGAGGGAGAGATTGGGGTGGGGCAGGCACTGGTCAGCCAGGACGGAGCCACACAGATCATCAGGGAGGGGGGGGCAGATCCTGTTGCTATGTGCACCCCCAGGGGAGTCATGCGCACCCAGATCTGTGCGCAGGGCATGGGCCGAGGGTGGTGCTGGGCTCTTCCTGGCAAAGGGGGCTGTGCTTGGGCCAGGTGGCAGTGGCAGCGCTGGGATGGGAGGTTACAGTGTGGCTACAGCAAATTTTGGGGTGGCTGTAGCCCACCCCACAGCCCCCACCCCCACTCTCAGTGCTACTGCAGCCCACCCCAAGTGCAGCCCCAGCCCAGCCCTGCACTGGGAAGAGCCAAGCACCACCCCTGGCCCTCGCCCTGTGCACCGATCTGGGGGGCGCACGACCTCCATAGCTCCCCTGGGGGTGCACATAGCAATGGGATCTGCCCTCCTTCCACCTAGACGACCTATGTGGCTCCGTCCTGTGCCCTGCCCCGCCCTGGCTGACCAATGCCTGCCTCCGCCCCACCC